CTGAGGGGAATACTAAGATGAGACAATTCAGTTAAGGACTTGGTGTCTACCGCTACTACTTGTGACACTGAAAGTTCGATTCACACAAAAAGACCCTCTTTCACTCATTATCTTCCTATTTAGATACTACATGTAAATTCAGACGTATATCTACATCACATCTTAAATCGGTCATTTTTTTTTCATTCAGTAAAATGTACTAAAGACTGCGTGTCTTGCATGACCGAATTATTAAGGATGTGTGAGAATTTACTCAGATTTGTTTAGCGTTTATACAAAAAGGATTCTCGGGACCATTAAAACGCAGAAAGAGGCTTTGTTCATAATCACAAACTTAACATTATGCTTCCAAATCAAAGACATGCATTTTTTTTTATTTTAATTGCACAATATAAACCAAAGATGAGCTTTTGAGTAATTACTTGTATTACTTAACAGAATTTTCTGCAAAGAAATGTTCCAAATTTCACCCTCTTTTAACTATATGCAACCATGCGAAGGTACTGTCATCAAAAAATATACGGAGAACATGCTCTGAGTACAATCAATTTTAAAACCCACCGAGACAGGCTACTGACAAATAAGTTGATATTTCAGGGCTTTAATCAATCAATCAAATCATACGGTCGTTATAATGATCTTGCCAAATAATGAATACAACCAATGCAACGAAGAATCTCTCTCTGAAATGCAAATGTCTGTAGCACACATTGTCACAGACGTCAATATGTGTCGAAATACGTGTACATTTTATATATTCCCAATCTGAAGGAAGACAAAAAAGTCTCTCTCGACACATACTGTGGCCGATGTCAATAAGTACAGATGGACCACAGTATATGCAGTGAGGTTAAATACCTTTTGTTGAGAGTATGTATATGTATATAGGGCGACAAAAAGCACCGTCACAAACCCTGTATCTGGTTTAATTAACTATTTTAGTTCTTTCTTGGGAGAAGGTTCCTTCCCAGAAGAAATGTTTGATTTAGAAAGTTATAATCCCAGCACATTCATCTACTCAAGGTTGTCTGATAACCTTTCGCCCATCACCTTGAATTCTTCTTGAATTAGATACTGATAACTTTACAAATGGAAAACGGCAGTAAGTTCCTGTTCTCTTAATCTGGATCTAGGTTGAAAAATTCATAATTAGAACAAGGAACAAATACTAACTTTACCTATGCTATAAAATATCCCGTGTGATATAAGGGGAAAAAAGTTCGAAAATCCAATGTTCCGAAATGGTTATGAAATAATTGACTGTACATGAATTAAATACTTAGTGTCATGTAGTAACTTCCTATGATGAAAAAATAACTAAAAAATTTTCATTTTAAAAAATGATTAAGGAATGAATCTCAAAACTGATATGTTCGGGCCTTAGATTTGGCTATGATTTATTTTCAACGTATCTCTTTCAAATATGAGAAATTGCGATCGATCCTCATAAGGTAAAGTACTAAATTGGATTGTGAAATACTATAGATAGAAATGTTATCAATTATCTAACCGCCCTCACTTTTATTCTCTACTTCCTTGATTATTTTCATATTATCATTATCTAAGTTTACAGCGGTCGTTATTTGTAATTGGGTCGCTTCCTGGAGGATGGACTTAAAAAAATGCACAAAAACAAAATCAAAGGCTTTCTTTAATGTAACTAACATTTTGATCAATTTGTAAGAACAAAAACTTTTACTATAAAATTATCCTTAAATTGATTCAATCAAAAAGAAAACACGTAGGGTTCACAGCAGATGTGACCGGTCAACAGGGGATGCTTACTTCTCCTAGGCTCCAGATCCCATCTCTGGAATGTCCAGGGACCCTTGTTTTATGTACTGTTTACAGATTTGTATTTTATATATATATATATTTTTTTTTTAGATCGATCACTGGTCATTAACTTTACCTTTTTATGCAGAAAATTGATTCATCCTCAAAAATAAATAACCAAACAAACTTTTTTTTCAGAAATCAGCAATATAGTACATAAATTTATATTCATATATGTAACTTGAATAATGTTTTCAAGGGTAAGTAGGAAATTTGTAAGATTTTGTAATAATGTTAAAAGATGTATGTAAATGTTTGGATAGATAAACATAGAAAAAGTTGCATATTTAAGCACCAAATGAAATTTCCGATTTCTTTATATTAAAGGGATTTATTATTTATGTCATTTCAATTCAAAATCAGTCAATTTATAAATCAATCCATGCATAAATTTTTTGTCTTATGTATCCTTAAGTTATTTATGCCGACATAACAGAATATACGTATATGAAATATGAAGATAATTAACAATCTCGAAAGTCCAATGAAATGATACAAATTTGGAGCAGAGCAAACACGGACCTCAAAAATTAGAGGTGGGATCAGGTGCCATGGAGGAGTGAGCATCCCCTGCCGACCGGTCACACCCGCTGTGTGCTCTTTGTCATATTCGGAAAAAAAAAACCCGAAAAAATCCGTCGACAGTTCAGTGTATAAATAATGGCCTAACAATTAGTATGAAAAACGTCAGTCGTATTTTGCTTTTACTTTCTCTAAAACACAAAAAATATTACCACCTTTTTTCATACTTGTTTTGACTACGGATTACACAATTTACCTGTTTAATCAGCGGGTACACGACGGACGTGACCGGAAGACAGGGAATGCTTACTCCCATCAGACACATGATCCCACCTCATGTGTTTCAAGGGTCTGTGTGTTTTGCCTGGTCGCAAATTGCATCGATTATTAATTGTATGTTGTTTAACGTCCCATTCTAGAATTTTTCACTCATATAGAGACGTTATTTATTGAAGTAAAGGGATTGGTCACTTCTCGTTATCTTCAACTTTTTTCATTCAGATAAATTGAAAACACATTTGATGTATATCATTAATTTTTTGGTATTCTTTTATATTCCTTTAACAAACGAAATCTTGAATATCAATTGATACATTAATAATGAGAGCATACAGTCCATGTTATTTTAGATAATACTATTATCAACATACTAGTACTACTAGTGAATATATTTCCGGTTACAACATAAAACTCATTGATCCACACGAATGAGAAAAATTATGCTTACTTTTTAAAGGCTGAAAAATAAGAAAACTTGAAAATAAAAAGGTAAAATACTGGATCAAACCCATCAACCAGACCCTTTCTAGTTCAATCTATTTCAAATCTTGTAGTTATCAATATAATACAGGTCTCTTTCATAATGCCGAATGAATGTTCCTACTCGTGGAATATGAAGATAGCAAACTGTAATGATGCTCAAAAGACTAAATAAACAATACAAATTGAGAGGAGAGCAATCGCAGAACCTTAAAAACTGCAGAGATGGAATCGGGTGCCATTAAAGAGAAAGCATCCCCTGACGACCTATGGCACGCGCTGTGAACTCTTTGTCTTGACTGAGTTAACGGTTAAATCCGTAGTCAGTTCAATATGAAAGTAATGACCTTAAAATTCGTATTAAACACGTTATTCAACATTCGATCTAGCGACAAGTTGTAATTGCAAACAAGGTTATTATATCGACCATAAATTTGCGAAATGTTACTTTAAACAAAATTATTAGTACCCTTGTAACTCAATTTTTAGTCAGTAGTCTTCGATATTTTCGAGGAAGAAAAAGAACTATCTCAGTCAGAGTATATATTTAATTACAAATCAATTGTATTCAGTAAATGATATTAAATCGCTTATCTCAGTAATTTTTAGTGCTATGTCTACATGAGTATACGTCATTAGTTCATCTACACTCAAGTCTCGTTAGTCATTGCTCAAGAACTTTACTATTATCAACGTTTCTTACGAATAGTATCTTCTTGAATTATCTCTTAAACCAGTCAGGTATAAAACAGACTTAAAAAGTGCTTTTCCTCTTAGTATTTTGTTTGAATTATCTCTTAAACCAGTCAGGTATAAAACAGACTTAAAAAGTGCTTTCAATTATCGATCTTTTGCCCTGTTAAATTGCAAATGATAAAGTCCAAACTGGTTTTAGTGACCAGTTCAAAATATTAACCTCTTTATACACTAAAAGGAACTTAAAATGCATCTCAGTCTGCAATTGTTTTGAAAAGTTATATCATTTATTTAAAGGTAAAAATTAAGTTTACACCTTTGATAGATAACTCTTGCAGTTTATTACACCAAGATAGGTGAACTAAGAGGTATGGTCAAAAGACAACAGCGATCCTAAGATCTATATGTTTCTATATTCAAATACGCAAAAAGAAATCTAGCCAAGCATTCCATGATAAATTATCATGAAACGACTAGACTTCTTTTAAAAAGATTTCACTGTTATATACATGCAGTATGTTTCAATAGCGTTACAATTTGTCGAACACACATTCTCTAGGGCAAACAATTAAAGCGTCGAAATGTTAACAAATGCACACGTGTACCACTAAACCGAGAAGTGATACGTGCACTTGCACATTTCCTGCTTTAAATACCGTGCTCCCTATAATGAGGCTTTTTTTTTTATTTTCGACTAAATCAAAAATTAGCAAAAAAGACGAAAATATCCCAGTTTCTTTGAAGTAGAATTTTAGTCGAGGTGCCATTCTGTACCACTCGCTGTAACCGGGGAATATGACCAGACAAGACCACCTGTTTACATGGCCAGCATAAAAGAGCTATCTTTAAAACACAAGTTAAACCGTTCAGAACACCATGTTAACGTGTCGAAAGTATTTATAAAATATCTATAAAATGTCTTTTATTCATAGTTTCACCATGTACTTTCTCCACAAATATTTGCAAAATTCATTACGTAATTTATGACGATTTTAAACTGGTTTAGAAGAAAGGAAAATTCTCTCCTTTAATTTATATAGTTTGAGAATCGCATCTTCACGAAAAGATGAGGATGTCTTAATCAATGAATTGTTTTTAGGAATTATTTTGCAGGTTCTCCAGAATTTCTGAAATCATTTCTGGAAACATGAAATTTCAAGATTTAAAATAAATGAAATAAAACCTACCGAATGATGAGTCCAACAAAACCATCTTTAGTCGGTTTATGAGATAGGTGGACTTTGTATATCTATATAAGATAGCCCCGTGTTCTTTTTAGTTTGAGAGGACGAACTCTGTATTCTCTTCCGTATTCAGGGTTTTTGTGTGTAAAGTGTCTGTATTGCCCCTAGTTAACCCACATCTTAAACATTTACAGGGGGATTTTGCTCAACGAGACAAAAATTTGTTTTTATCTAGAAGTTTTTCTTCCTTTCTCCTTCTTAATGCTATCATGACGTCATTATTTGTTACAAACAGGCCCACGATTCTTCAGCAAAACTGGAAGAGAAATTCAAAATTCTAATACAAGAAGACAATATTGATTGATATTCAGGAGTAAGGATTAAAGTGTGTCATTTTCAAGCAAACAAATACAAAATAAAACATTTTTAAAAAAATATTAGAAATTCATTATTTCGTGCATATGATTTTACGCTTTCTTTTGAAACTTTGATCTCTTTTAGATATTTCACCATAGAAATATAACGGCAAGAGGGGTTTAGCGTAATTCGCATACACTGAAGTAAAGGAAACTCCTATGTAATGCGTTTTCTTCTATTCCTTCCTTGTACGATGGTTTGATAAACATAGGCTTTAATCTTCAAACCGAAGCAAACCTATTTGTATTCTTTAATCATTACTTACTTTCAAAGGGCAAACAATCCAGTTGAAAGATTCGAGCTGACTCAAAATATGACTGATAAAAAAACCAAGAAAGCAGTGGAGCCCAATTTGCACCCATCCTTTTTCACTGGAGCATCATATCTTTATACCTTGCTACCCTTTTCTCAGGCATAAATAATATGAGTAAAGTAAAGATTCAAATGACCAAACAAAATGCTCTCTTTCCGAAAAAAGTAATTAACAAAAAGAGCTTACCATCCATTTATCTCATATCTTTTGATGTTTTCTCAATTTATGGTTGAGAAATTTTATCAATATTTCATCAAATGTTTGATTTTGAGTTTCTTGATACACAAGAATTCTTTTTTAAAAATATGCATGTCCAACAAGCATTCATAGAAATTACAAAACGAAAGGACGTCTTAAGTGAATAAAAAGAAACCTCCCTGTACACGAAAATACATATAATGCATCTGTAGTACCTGGGGATAAACGTGCTTATCTATGCACTGTCAATTAGACAACAATTACCCAATCCAAACTTAAGTAGACACTCATCAATCGATGAGGAAGCATCTTAACAATGAAATGGCAAGCTCGTCATTACGGAAGATTAGTATGTAAGTGTATTCACCAAATTAACAAATTATGTTTAATTTAGATTGTAATACTGATTTCAAGTACATTGCATAATTTGTCAAAGTTACCAGTTTTGTAGGAGAGAATTACACAGGGGTAATTCAAATTCTTTTTAAGATATTATTCAAATTCAACATGGTTAGCAAACACATCATACCTAAACCATGTATGTTTAACTTTTCGACCAATATTAGTCTTTATAAACGCAATGTTATATATTCTGAGATACAAATAAATATTAATAATATATACCTTATATACCCTTGACTCACTGAGTAAAGGTTCTAGTCTGTTCAAACATTAAAGAGTTTTCATTAATTAAATGGACATTTTTGGAGCAAAAAAAAAAAATAATAATAAAAACTTCAGAAACTGAATCAAGATTGAATTATTTGATAACGCCTAGGGAGACCTACGGGAAAATGAAAACAGAAACCAGTAATAGGCGTAAACTTATCACATAAACGACTTATAAATACACGACGACGATCAGCTGAAATCATAGCCTATTATTTCAGATTAGTACTCAGATTTTGTCAAAAAAAAGTTCTACATCAATATCTTAGCTTATTATTTTAGGTAATTAGTACAAAAAAAATTAGCCTGTTATTTTAGATTAGTACAAAAATATCTTAGACTATTATCTTAGGTTAGTACAAAAATATCTCAGACTATTATCTTAGTTTAGTACAAAAATATCTTAGACTATTATCTTAGTTTAGTACATAAATATCTTAGACTATTATTTTTGGTTTATACTAAGATTTCGTTAGGTAACTAGTTCTCAATATTTAAGCAAGTTTATTCAAATTCAATTTCTACTTTGATATTTATGAACGTAGAAGATGAGTATACACACAGAAATGATCAGTGGTAAAACCCAATTTGTATATCCACCCATTTAATTACAAATATGAATATGAACTTAGCTTTTCCCACGTTTTGCTAATTAAGATTCAATATTCTTAATCGTGACCCTTTGTCCTTTGTTTAGACATATTTAACTACTTAAATGGAATTGATGAAGTTTGTTCAAAGTGCGTATGATTTCTACTTCCTAGAGTTCCCCGTGATATTGGAACTTATCAAAGATTTGTATAATTTTCATTTCCCCTTTTCCGTGAAATATTTACCATTTTTCCGCCAAGGTGTTGTCACCCCATAGTTTTTTCTCCATATTTCCTTCATATAGTTAATATATATAACTGTTTGGATGGCTTTTTTGTAAATACTTTCAGAGCTATTACTTCAATTTTTAAAATTTCTATAGTTTCATAATTTCGATACTTGAATTAAAAAAACTTTTTCGAGTGTCTGAAATTCCAAATTTATTTCTATGCATTGCCAGACCATTTTGAATTCACAAATAATAAAAAAAAAATCATAAATATATGCAAACAAAACTTAAATTTTCTATTAAGATTACATCAAAATTAAGTTATTGAGGTAAATAAAAAAAAAAAAAACGTTACCACAGAGATAGTATTTGGAAATAGGAATTTAATAAAAAAGAAAACACCACACACTTCAAATATATTTAATAGAAAATTCACTTCATTTTGATTGGTTGGTAATCAATATAATTGTTATTGTATCTTCTATGATATTTAATTAAATTTTTATATCTCTTTCGTATTTCAAAACCAGATTTCTCTTAAAATAAAATTTCTTACGAATTCAAAGCTGAAAGTGCACTTTTATCGGTAAAAATGCCTAAGTAATGTGATACATTCATCTCAAAAAAAAAAAAAAAAAAAAAAAAAATTAAATTTAATCGCACATCAAGACACTAATTTTGTAGATCACAGTTCTTACAGAATATTGCTGATATATCATTTGTTAATAAAGTAATAAAATAGTTTACAACTGTTTTTAAGAATGGTTTGAAAACTATCAGCATAACGCTGTTCATGAAACAAGTACAGAACACGAATAGGTGATAAAGATGTCAATTAAGGCATATTTTACCGACTATCATTAAGTCTTCAACTGCATACGTAATTTAAGGAAGCGACTGGTATTTCACTGAAATGAGCAAGTGATTCATTGCCAAAACGATTCGTTCAATTTTTTTTCATATACATGCATCATTTTTTTAAAAAGATGATTCTCAGATACGTCACATTTAAATGAATAATTTTATAATATTTAAAAAATCAAGCTGTTTTAATTAAACATCCGTTCATTTTCAAATTGCGAATAAAACATTATATGCTGTTTTAACTAAGAGGTAAATATTCAAAACTCAATTGCACAGCAAATTTAAGAAGTTAAATTAGGATTATGCACAATATATTCAAGAAATCATTGATTCGTTGGCAAAATAGAGAGGGTTTCCGATAAAGGAAAAGAACAGAAAAATATTTCTGTTTAATTTTTTTTCTTTTAAAATTGCATTTTTAATTGAATTAACAACATTTCCTAATTGCGATAGTATTATGACATTCTATTAATTGCATTCAAACTTAAACAAACAGCAACAAAAAACTTGTCTAAACAAAAAAAAATGTAATTTGAATGTATTAAGAGAAAGCACAATTGTACACTTCCATTCATAAAAAAGTAGTCCTTAAGGGAGGTCACTTAATTTGGCAGGTGTTGTAATATTATAGGCGCCCTTAGTCTGAGTAGTCACATGTTAGAATGAAGTGGACGTAAAAAAATCATTCAAGATGAAAAAACGAAATTACAGGTTTTAGGGTACAAATGACGATAAGTCGACTGGGAATTTATTTATTCTTTTTATCAAATATGTTGATAAAATTAAACTTTGAAATCACGGATACAGATTCATAATCTCTTCTTGTGTAGCATGATAAAACATAAATTGAAAATAACATGTTCGTTATTTCAGTTATTTCTTGTCATTTCTCATTAGATCAGATATGCTTTATTTAAAAATAAACGCTATTCGGATATCCAAAAAGATCAAGGAAGGTACATAAATGCTTGTTAACGAAAAAACGAAGGTCAATGTAAATGTATTGCTTGAGAAGTACATTCAAAACGTGACATTTATTCTAATTCTGATAATTAAGAATCATCAAAACTTGACTTCAATTAAATAAATCAAAATGACAAATCGATACATTTACTTACATTTAATTTTGGGTCACATAAAGTGTACTTCTATAACTATTCATCATTCAATGTGCATATTGCAGGCATTACCTACTGACTTCATTTCAGCATATTCATACAAATTAAAGCACTAAACTTTTTATAAAAGAATTATTTCCCGATATTCTATACATTACTGTAAGAATGTAACAGGTAAAGATAACGAACAGTGATCGATCTCAAAAAATCCTCAAACAATACAAATATGTGAAGAGGGCATAAAACGCGGACCCCTGGAAATTCTAGAGGTGGGATCAGGTGCCTAGGAGGAGTAAGCATCCCCTATTGACCGGTCACACCCCCAAAAATCCTACGTATTGATCAGACTACAACTTTACACTGAAATATTACAGCTTCCAAAACCTTTTATAACTAAAGATGGATGAAACTTATTAGGAAATAAATAACACATTCAAACCGCTGTAAATTCATTCTAAATGTTTAATTCTATTTTCATAAATCGTAATTTTGAATGTAATATGCCCCAGAAAATCAATGATCGGGGAGCGTTATGTTTTCTCCTGTCTGTATTTCAACAGGCAGGGGAAATTTCTAAGTGTTAACATGTTTTCTCACTGTACACGGCATGAGACAGTAAACAACATCGGTGTTTAAAATTTGTGCTAAAATTTGGAAGTTTTGGCTAAAATTAGGATTGACTGTGTAAAAGCACCGGACAATTTATTAAATCA